TAAATAATCAGAAGTAGTCCAGCTCTACTTTTTCCTAGTCTGTCTTAGTCTGGAAGCTCACCTGAAACCTGTTCACCATAGTTGACACTGCTGGTATTTAAATACCCGTGGCATCGCTTTCAGAATCACAGCAACATGCAGGTCACCACAGTATGACAAACTGACAAATAAGTGGTGGAAAATAAGATAGTAGATTATATAAATAAAAAGATGGGAGGTAGATAAATAGAAGATAGATACATCAGTAGATTAACGATAGATAAATAGATAGATATAAGATAGATGCATCAGTAGATTAATGATAGATAGATAGATAGATAGATAGATAGATAGATAGATAGATAGATAGATAGATAGAAAGATAGGGATCCATGAAAAGAGAAAGAAGATAAGAGATAGCTAGAAGGATGATAGATAAATAGGAGATAGGTGAGTACGTAGATAGGGATGGATGGGTAGGTGAAAAAATAGATGATAATGAATCAGATAAATCAATAGTGAGAAGGAAGATAGATAAATAGAGGTAGGTGGGTAGCTGGGTGGTGGATGAATAGATGACAATAATAGACTTGGTAGATGAATGGATAGCTAGAAGTAAGATAGGTAGGCAGTCCGATAGATGGAAGGTCGGTCGGTAGGTCCGTGCTGTTGTGTGAACTCCAGCCCACAGAGCCCTTCTGTAGAGCAGCCCTAACATTGCCTGGTCCTACGCTGTCCTCACAGCCCTGCCTGGCTTTGTGGCTGTTAGATGCCAGGCTTGCCAAAACTCTCTCCCACCTCCCTGAAGGTCTCGTCTGTTGTTCTTCACCAAACATGATGTCCTCCTCTCGCAGTGACCACTGCTGGCATGTCCAATGCAAGTGAGTCAGATGGTGTCCTTGGGTGCTCCATCGGGTTTTCATTGTCTGGTTTTACAAAACAGATCATGAGACCTTTCCTCCTAGTCTGTCTGAGTCTGGGGAAAGTCTGCTGAAATGTGTCCCCCATTGGTGACCCTGCTGGCATTTAAAATACCAGTGGCAGAGCTTCCAGCATCTCAGCAGCAAGCAAGCCACCACAGTAAGACAGACAGACGGACAGGTGGTTGAAGGTCACCCAGGCTGCCTCATTTTTCTGCTAAACCACCTTTCATGATTTACATGGTTATGTTAACCATTTGGGAAAGTTTCCAAACTGGTCAGACAGGAACTGGCTGCCTGCAGTGCCTGGCACATCATGGACGCTCAGTAAATATTTGAAGAGCAGGCTGCATTTTCCCATCAGACCCAGTCCATACACAGGATTAAAAGGGTTTCTCCTTAGCTTCACATGGAGAAGGGGCTTCAGAAAGTTTCTTGGAAAATCCCATTGTCTTTCACTTCCATTTTTCTAGGAACTTTTTGAAGGCCCTCGTATGTTCTTTCTCCACATATAAAATCTTTTTCATTCAGCTTCATGTTGTTATTTTTATTAAGTGCCAGCATGGAGGTTCTGACCTATAACGAACCTATGTAGGGTTTCTGAGGCGCCACAGCTGAGCTTGCACAGCTGACCTTGTGGTTCACACTGACTATGCAGTGTATATAGCGCATTAACCCACAATGCCACACCAGGGCTCCCCCACCAGGACGCCATCAAGTCCGTTCCGACCCATAGCAACCCCATGTATGACAGGACAAAACCCTGCCCGGTCGTATGCCAACCTCACAGTGGTCATCTTGGAGCCCATTGTTGCTGCTGCCACTGTGAGTCCATCTTGTTGAGGCGCCTTCTCTTTGTCACTGGCCCGCTGGTTTACCAAGCATCATGTCCTTCTCCAGGGAGTGGTCCCACCTGACACATGTCCAAAGTCCATGAGATAAAGTCTCACCAGCCTCGCTTCTAAAGAGCATTCGGGCTGCACTGCGTAAGATACTAAAATCTTACCTCCTGTTTTGGGGGGAGATTAGGAGGTAAGATTTTAACTCCTTTCAAAAAGATTTCAGTTTTTGAGTCACTGGTATGATTTTAGAAATCATCCATGACATCATTAATTTAATCACACAACTTTGGAGTTCTGATGTGGCGCTACAGAATAATGCAGTGAACTGCAAGGTCAGTGGTTCAAGCTCATTGGAAACCCTTTACAGGGTAGGGTCACTATGAGTTGGAACTGACTCGACGGCACTTAACAACAACAACAAATCACTTGTAATGATTTTTCAAAAATTATTTAATCATCTTTTATATAGGTATAGATAGAGCTGGGTTTTAGATTCATCATGCCAACTTGTCTCCAGAACTGGATCTTAGCTGTTGTAAATTGTTCATTTAAAAGGAAAGAAAAAGTGTGTGTTTTGTCAGCTTGAAATAACTTACAAATGATCTTTCAGTTTTGGACATTCTGGGTTTATAGTTCTAAACTATTCAAATAATACCAAAAAGAATAAGTTGTTCCCTTGGGGGTTTTCTTGTTGCTGCTAAGATTGTTTACTTAAGTTCAAGCAATCTCCCATAATTAGAGCTGTCATTTTTATTTGGAATATTGTGACTTCCTGACCCACGTGATGAAGAACAACTTGAAAACAAGAATTCAGTGCTTGTCACTTGATATTTTCTGCCCCGGGGATATGAGGATGAAGTAATGGGGACCAACTTGCACAAAAGCACACGAGGAGTTGTGTGTCTGGGGGCCTGGCCCATGTGTAGTGCTGTCTGAGCAAGCTCCACGATTGTTCCAGAAACACTGCTACAGCTCAGGGGTTCGTGGAACGCTGCTTTCTGAACTGTAGCCCAGAGCGGCTCCAAAGTCCTCAGTGAAAGGATGTGTTTTTTTTCCAACATTTTGAATTGTGGCATAGATGAGAAGCTTGAAGTCTTTCTAGGCCCAAGTGCAGGAAAGAAACCATGGAATGCTATCTGGAGTCACGGCTGGGTGTAAAATAACAAGATGGGCTTCCATGCTTGAGATGGGTTAGCCCAAGAGGAATTCCCAAACCTGGAGCCTCGGAATACATAACGTGTAAGCTCTTAGGGTTCTGCTATAAAGAACACTACTTGTTCAGGTGTGGGCTTGCAAAATCAGATCGATGCTGTTGCTTTGTAGGCATAACCTTGTGGATGAAAAGAATAATCCTATTATGAAACTCTTTATAAACAAACTTCCAAATGTCAGGAGAATTTCTGTCTCATCTGTTCTAAACCTCTTGAGAAGTTTTCTGAATCTTCAGCTTAATAATGATAAAAAGGAATGTTGACCATTTAGCAAGTGGATGCTTTGAACATCCACTTCACTGGTTTTCCACTTAGCTTTGTTACTTTATACTATTGACGTTTATTTTCATTCTTAGTATATCCATTATTGCTCACCATGTTGTATGCCATCAAGTCAGTTCCAACTTATAGGGACCCTGTATAGGGTTTCTGAAAGCAGCTGTTGGTTTTGAACCACTGACCTTGCAATTAACACAGTTAGCAATCCAGTGCTTACCCTACAGTGCCACACCAGAGCTCCTTGTTCATCCTTTATTGTTAAGTGTTCAGTCCGTTCGGACTCATAGCGACCCTGCATAGGGTTTCCAAACAGTGGCTGGGGAAGCTGAACTGGCAGCCTTGCAATCCAGCGCATTAACGCACAGTGCCACACCAGGGCTCCTTGTTTATCCTTGTTGGTGTGGTTGTTGTTGTTAAGTGCCATCGAGTCAATTCCGACCCATAGCGACCCCGAATAGGGCTTCCCAGGAGCAACTGGTGAACTTGAACCGCTGACCTTGTGGCTCAAACCGACTTTACACTCCAGCACATACACCCACAGCGCCACACCAGGACCCCATGTTGTTGTTGTTGTTAAGTGCCGTCGAGTCGGTTCCGACCCATAGCGACCCTGTACAGGGTTTCCGAGGGTGTAAATCTTTACGGGAGTAGAAAGCCTCATCTTTCTCCCGCGGAGCAGCTGGTAGTTTCGAACCGCTGACCTTAAGGTTCGCAGCCCGATTCGTAACCACTACGCTACCAGAGCTCCCCATAAGATGCCCAAAATATCGTGTCTCTCTGTAAAATTCTAATCATGCCCTCGAGCCAAAGTAGGAAAGGCTATCTAAGCGGAAGGTTACTAACTGCGGAGTGCTGTTTTAAGCTCCTTTTGTGTACGTTAGGAGTCTGGCACTGTAGGATAAAGCATGGGACCACAAGGTCGGTTTGAACTACAGTGTCGGTGGTTCAAACCCACCCGCCACTCCTCAGAAATCCTATACAGGGTCTCTATGAGTCAGAATCGACTCGATGGCAGGTAATAAGTCATGTTCTAGATGGCTTTCCTATCCAAAGTGGGACCACCTGAGCAAATAAAAGCCCCAGATGACAAGAGAAGACTCTCAGATTCAAGATTTTATGCCAATCAGTGCTTTCAACTGGGGCTCCTCACAGGTTTTTCAATTGTACCCATAAAAAACCTTTACAAACAAGAGTTCCACCACATATTTCTAAACCATGTTTCTCAAATATGGAGATTCCAAGTGGGCTTATGGGCCAGACCTGGGAGCTGGGGCTGATGCAGATGGAGTGATTTTCCAGTTGGACTCGTGTGGTTTAACACACCCCTGCTGCTTTGTTGGAGCCCTGGTGTGCCACTGGAGCATAAGCACTGGACTGCTAATCACAAGGTCAGCGGTTCAAACCCACCATCTGCTCCTCAGAAACCCTATACGTGGTCGCCATGAGTCAGAACTAACTCAGTGGCACTTAATTAACAACTGCTTCGTTGCTCAGTTACAGTGGTGAAAGGCAAAAGTAAGCATCGAAGGCAGAGGGAACGGTTAACCGTTCTCAAAGAGGCTATGACAACTGAATTCTGACACCACTGTGCTGTGACAATTCCACACGGTGGAATGGAAAATTGCGTGGTCCTTGTTGTCAGAGATCCAGACGGCCATTGGCTTACAGCTGTACAGAGTCCTTGTGTGGTGTCTTGACTGCGGGCTGGCGGGGTGTCCTGTTCTTCTGCCTGATAGTAACGAGCCCACAAACGACTCTTGTTTTGGCAGTTTGGTGATTTAAATGCCGTGTCTCCTGGGAACCTGGATAAAGGTAAGAGCCAAGAACGTGGTCATGTCTGAGTCTGGTTTTGTTTGTTGACTGAGAAACATTCCTGGAAGGGCTTGTCACGTGCGTCTCCAACATCTCTGTGTGTCTGTGGCCTACCGTCCTCCAGAACCTTCATTCCTTCACTTCTCCTCCTTCCCCTCTTTACATGGGGAGCTATGGAATTGAGAGCGTTCCATTTAAATGCACTGGCAGACTCTCCGGTGTCTCACAGACATTAGGGGAAACTATTTCTGGAGTCTCGAAGGGAACTGAGAAAAGTGGGCCTAAGACCCCCGATCCCTCAGCCTCGCCACCTCACCGGTCCACACCCTCGGTGGAAAGAGTACCTAGAATAATCCTGGCATGTCCCGTCTCCAGGCTCTCAGGAGTCACCGAGGCTGGGGACCCCCAACACTATTGTCCTGATACAGTTTTTAACTTGAAATCAGAAATGCCCCCTTCTTAAAACCAAACATAGTTTAGCTTAACTGGTGAAGAACTGAGCATTGCGCTCTTTTATGATCCTGGTATGGCGCCATAGGAGCAACAATGAACTGCTAACTTCAAGGTCGGGGGTTCAAACTCACCAGCCACTGCTCAGAAACCCTATACAGGGTCACTATGAGTCAGAACCAACTTGATGGCACTTGACAACCACAACAAATGGGGTCCTAGTGTGGTGCTTTAGGGTCAGTACTGGACAGCCAACTGCAAGGTTGGCAGTTCAAACCCACCAATCACTCCTCAGAAACTTTATACAGGGTCGCTATGAGTGTGAACTGACTCGACATTTAATAGCAACAGCGTTTGGAGTCAAAATGCCTGTATAGTCACTGGGCAGATGAAACAGGAAGCTTAGGGGAGGGACACCCATGTCTGAATTGTCCAGGTTAAGACTGAAGATTGGTATGTGGCCCACTGTGTGTATTCTCAACAACAACACAAATTAATAAAACATGTTAAATAGGAAGACAAGAAAGTGATAGCCCAAAACGATTGTTGTTGTTATACACTGGAAAGAGTCCTGGTTAATGCACTGGACTGCAAAGTCAATTCAAATCGTAAAGTTGATAGTTCAAGCTCACCAGCTGCTCCTCGGAAACCCCATACAGGGTCGCTATGGGTTGGAACCTACTTGGCAGCAATTACCAGCATATGCCATAAACCCATTGCTGTTGAATGGGTTCTGAGTCATGACAAGCCCACAGAACGGAGAACTTGCCCCATAGGCTTTCCAAGGTTGTCATCTTCACGGAAGCCGACGGTAACATCGTTCCCTCTTGGAGCAGCTGGTGGGTTTGAACCGCCATCCTTTCTGTTAGCCTGCTACCTAATCATTGTGGCCCCAAGCCTCCTTTTTGTAAACACCGTAGAACTGGCCAAGCAGCCCTCAGACTGGCACCAGTGATGCTCATTTGACATTTTAGAGCAAGAACAGTGGCCAGTTGAGATCAATCTACAGAAGGCAACACTGGTAGCAAAGCCTCAGAACCCAAGTCTGGGGTTCTCACCTCACAGCACCCAGAGGTGCGGGCGTTAGGACCAAACACCAGATGGCAGCCAGTCTTCTCTGTAAAGTGATGAACTCAAGTCTTCAGAAAACTCCGGTAACAAGTTTTCACTTTCTGTACCAAATCACGAAGACTTTTCAGCAGTTTCCTAGGAAACAGCATTAATTTGAGTCTTTACACTGAAAACCAATTTCTAGCTAATTGATTCCTACTCATGAGTTTCAGATGGAGCTGGCCTCCGTGGGGTGTCCAGCTGCGACCTTTCTGTACCAGATCACCAGGCCTTTCTTTCAAGGGTGTCTCTTGGTTCGAATCACCAGCTCTGAGCGTAATCATTTGCACCTAAATTGTCTTCTAGGAACCCTAGTGGCACAGTAGTTAAGCAATCCACTGAAAACCAAAAGTTTGGTGGCTCAAACCCAGAGGTGGGGGGAAAGAACCTGCCTTTTTGTTCCCAGAATGATTTCAGTCAGGGAAACCCTATGGGCAGCTCTAGCCTGTGTGGGGTCTGACAAGACAACAGTCATTTGTTCCTAGAAACTGGAGAAAAGACTTGCTTTGGGGGATTGCTTTACAGTCTACCCAGAGGAGCTCTGTCCCCCACAAGTGAGCCCAAAGGAGCTGGCCTGGCCTTCAGTTCGTGCTGTCTCTTGCTTGCCTCACTGCTGTCTCCATTCACAATAAGGTAGACCAGAGGACTCACTCTCCTGCTTCGCTCTCCCATTCCAGTTTGTACATGAAGTTTGTGTTCAGTGCGGTCTGTTATATCCTTTCAGAAGTATTTCTGAGGCGCAAGAATGTTGGGGGAGAGGGACAAAGAAGCAGTGTCATTGCAGGTCATTGCACTCTTTGTAAGCAGCCCTGGTGGCACAGTGGGTTAGGTGTTGGTCTGTAAACTGCAAGGTCGGTAGTTCAAACTCACCAACTGCTCCTTGGGAGACAGATGAGGCAGTCTGCTCCTTTATAGATCTACAGCCTCAGAAACTGTAAGGAGCAGCTCTACTCAGTTCTGTCCGGTCGCTGTGAGATGGAATGGACTCAACAGCAAGGGAGTTTGGATCCCACGCCAAACGCTGTGACCTGGGGTTCCTGTTCATCCCACACCTGGTGCCTCTGAAGGGAACAGCCCAAAGGGCCTAATGATGGAATGGGGACCCTCAAGACTTTTTGAGGATTTTTCTCTACAAAAATGAGAATTTTTTTTTTCCATGATAATGAAGTATTCGTGATGTGTAAAAATCTCAGATAATACCATCTTCGTCTGGATTCAATAGAGGAGGAAAACCAGGGTAGCACATGTAGATAAGTTTATTTCAGCAAAATGGCACACAGCACGTGGGACTGCCGAACCCCAAATCCCTGGGTCAGAGAGCAGGCTGGAGACCTCGGCTAGCTCACATGGTTATAGGAACTGCCGAACCCCAAATCCCTGGGT